CCCCCCCCCCCCCCCCCCAAAAAAAGCCTTAGTGGGTGTCATAAGGAAGGACATCCGAGTAACGAGCGACCACCCCAACAAACACAATAAAGAAGAGACCTAACCCTAACCCTACCCCAAAAAGAACCTGCATCGGGCCTCATCTTAAAGGGATTCGCATGTAAAAAGGCCAAAACAAGTACTAAATGAAAAAAAAAATTTAATTAAAAAACCACACTCCAAAACAAACAAGGAGCATATAGATTCTAGATCTAGATCTAAATTTTATCTATATGGCTTACATCTACATTGCTATAGGGTTTGATACAATAACACAATAGAATTGGAATATGAATCCTCCATATAGACTATAGATCTAGATCTAGATATCTAGATCTACTAGACTAGTAATCTAAAAAATAAATCTAGATCTAGATCTAAATTTTATCTATATGGCTTACATCTACATTGCTATAGGGTTTGATACAATAACACAATAGAATTGGAATATGAATCCTCCATATAGACTATAGATCTAGATCTAGATATCTAGATCTACTAGACTAGTAATCTAAAAAATAAATCTAGATCTAGATCTAGATATAGAAAAATCTAGATCTAGATCCTGAAGAACAAGTGAATAGGAATAGATTCTAGGCTTTGAACTAGAAATCCGCATCCGATTCCGAACAGAGGGACTCAGCTGAGTCTAGATTCTAGATCTAGATCTAGCTAGATCTAGATCTATATCTAGATATCTAACTAGATCTAGATCTAGAATCTAGACTATAGATCTAAATATAATAATAATAATAAATAATTCACGCACCTGATGAAATGCTTATTTTTACCAATATTAATATTACAGCACAACCTATGATAGGGTTTGACACAATAGAATTGGATTATGAATCCTCCATTGAGGCCTATAATGATCTCTATATAAATCTAGATCTAGATTCTATTAGAACAAGAGAGTCGGACTTGAATGAATCCACACGATCTGAACAATTGAATTAGTCAACAAACGAAATTGAAAATGGCCGCTCGAGCACGAAACTGAAAGTAGATAATTTAAGTTGTCGTCCTTTTTCGTATTCGCATTTCTACTTAGGTTCCGACTATTATGTCGGAAACGCCGACGTCGGCAGTCGGCGGTGCGCGCGTCGACGGTCGGCACGAAAACGAAAGTGCCGACGAAGCCGACGGGAGAAAAATGGGTCACTGGCAGTCGGCCAGGCCTCGCACTACGCACATTGACTGATACAGGCGGGCCTAGCGATAGCATCGGCCGGTTCGCGGGTCGGGTCGCGATTGTCGGATTTCAGACGATTGTCGGCAAACATGCAGGTCTACAACAAGGCCTGTGTCATCTATCACCTATGTATAACACACTGCCCAACAAGGCCTGTGTCATCTATCACCTATGTATAACACACTGCCCAACAAGGCCTGTGTCATCTATCACCTATGTATAACACACTGTTTGCCCAACAAGGCCTGTGTCATCTATCACCTATGTATAACACACTGTTTGCCCAACAAGGCCTGTGTCATCTATCACCTATGTATAACACACTGCCCAACAAGGCCTGTGTCATCTATCACCTATGTATAACACACTGCCCAACAAGGCCTGTGTCATCTATCACCTATGTATAACACACTGTTTGCCCAACAAGGCCTGTGTCATCTATCACCTATGTATAACACACTGCCCAACAAGGCCTGTGTCATCTATCACCTATGTATAACACACTGTTTGCCCAACAAGGCCTGTGTCATCTATCACCTATGTATAACACACTGTTTGCCCAACAAGGCCTGTGTCATCTATCACCTATGTATAACACACTGCCCAACAAGGCCTGTGTCTTCTATCACCTATGTATAACACACTGTTTGCCGAACAAGGCCTGTGTCATCTATCGCCTATGTATAACACACAGTTCCCCCAACAAGGCCTGTGTCATCTATCACCTATGTATAACACACTGCCCAACAAGGCCTGTGTCATCTATCGCCTATGTATAACACACAGTTTGCCCAACAAGTTAGGTTGCTGAGCAGAGCTTAGCACAAGGTAAGGTTCAATTCTAATCCAGCGCGATTCATTGTGTGGGTCAATGTCAAGGCCAGCTTATCATCCCAACGTAGATCAGTGGTCGAGGAAAAACTGTCCTGTGTTTGTTTCTTTACTGACGTAATGTTCCGTGGCCAGACCGCTTAGGCACCCTCCCCCCAGACACACACAAACACACAAACACACACACATACGCGCGCTCACACACACACACACACAAACACATACGCACACACACACACACGCGCGCGCGCGCACACACACACACCCGTCCGACCCCGACACGTGCTAAGAGATGTATGTGTGTGTGTGTGTGTGTGTGTGTGTGTGTGTGTGTGTGTGTGTGTGTGCTTTTTGGCATGAAAGAAACCCACAGATAGGTCACATAAGAAAATATAAACCAAATGGTCCGCTGTCTGGGTGTCATGGAGGATGGTCAGGAAGAGACAAAAAGGTTCGTTGTGGGAGAAAAATGAAGGGAGTCACGTCGGTGGGGGCTGTTTACCCTGCAAGCGACGTCGTTGAATCCCAGCCTGCTCATGTATGAGTTGCTTGAATCTGGGTTCTTTGCATTGGTTTTTAGGAATAGACAAACAACAACCAGGGAATCCAACTCCTTTATTTTCCCGAGCTCAACTGTAGAAACACAATCCCAGCCATCACACAGCCAGGTATGTGCATTCAGGTACACACACGCACGCAAGCACACACACACTCACAGGATGAGTATTATGCATTCACACACACACACACACACCCACACACAGGATGTGTAATATGCATTCACACACACACACCCACACACAGGACGTGTATTTTATGCATTCACACACACACACACCCACACAGGACGTGTATTATGCATTCACACACACACACACATACAGGATGTGTATTATGCATTCAGACACACACAAAAATTCACTGTACACCCTCCTATGTACACACACACCCCCCCACACACCCCCCCACACACACACACCCCCAAGAATCGACCATCAGGAGTTGCTGGGGACATGGTTCTCTTGAGATACCAGCTGGCGGCGTGGGAGTCGCAGTGATCCTGGGGGGAGAGGAGAGCATGTGTCATATGTACGATGTACGTGTCCAAGTGACTCGCTTGTGTGGGAGAGAATTCGCCGTTTCCCTGGGGGGGGGGGGGGGGGACCACATGGTCAAACAAGTGCCGAAGATGATACACAGGCGTGACAAGAGAGTAACATCCAAAAAAAAAAAATTTTCTTTTCCATGAAAAGAGGAGAAATAATAGCAATTGATGTTTCATGGAAAGAGTTTAGTTTTAGTAAGAGTTTTACGGCACTTGCAACACAATAAGGTCATACAAGTGCCGAAGATTAGAGGTGTTACAAGAGAGTAACAAACACAGAAATGAGTGAGGAGAGATAACAACAATAGATGTTTGATAAGAAAGAAGGAGTAAACCACACCAGAGCACCCGCCAACCACTCACTCCATGGCTTGATAACTTTTCAACAAGTGTATAATGTGGATTTCCCAGAATGCACCCTTTAGCCACTGTAACAGGGAATTCCCAGCAAAAACTGTAGACGGACATTACACGACAAAACATCTCAACATCAACGCGTTGTCCTCACACAAAGCTGTCAGTGACGGACATTACACGACAAAACATCTCAACATCAACGCGTTGTCCTCACACAAAGCTGTCAGTGACGGACATTACACGACAAAACATCTCAACATCAACGCGTTGTCCTCACACAAAGCTGTCAGTGACGGACAAGTACGTTTTTGTTGCTTGTCCGCTGTTTCTTTTTTATGGCGGCGAAAAACTTCCACGGCTAACAGCCTTGTAGCCTGCAGATTTCAGACGGCCAAGGATATGTGTGCTCAAGTCTTCATTTACTTGAAACATGGACGCAGCAGTGTGTAAGTTTCTGGTGGGAATGTGTTAGACGCACGTTAATTTTTGGCCTTCATCAGTTGGGCACCAGACGTTCCTGACATGAACGCCCTGTCTGTGAGGGTACGAGAGAGGTGGTCCCTCCCACAAGAACCCACAATTTACACTCAGGATTTTCACCATCATTCCTCGGAGAAGGCAACCCCTGAACCAGGAACTACTTTTTCCCGTCCCGTGTTGCAAGAACTACTTCTACCGTCCTGTGAACCAGGAACTAATTCTACCGTCCTGTGAACCAGGAACTACTTCTACCAAGCCCTGAACCAGGAACTACTTCTACCGTCCAGTGAACCAGGAACTACTTGTACCGTCCAGTGAACCAGGAACTACTTCTACCGTGCCCTGAACCAGGAACTACTTCTACCGTCCAGTGAACCAGGAACTACTTCTACCGTCCAGTGAACCAGGAACTACTTCTACCATGCCCTGAACCAGGAACTACTTCTACCGTGCCCTGAACCAGGAACTACTTCTACCGTGCCCTGAACCAGGAACTACTTGTACCGTGCCCTGAACCAGGAACTACTTCTACCGTCTTGTGAACCAGGAACTACTTGTACCGTCCAGTGAACCAGGAACTACTTGTACCGTCCAGTGAACCAGGAACTACTTCTACCGTGCCCTGAACCAGGAACTACTTCTACCGTCCAGTGAACCAGGAACTACTTCTACCGTCCAGTGAACCAGGAACTACTTCTACCATGCCCTGAACCAGGAACTACTTCTACCGTGCCCTGAACCAGGAACTACTTCTACCGTGCCCTGAACCAGGAACTACTTGTACCGTGCCCTGAACCAGGAACTACTTCTACCGTCTTGTGAACCAGGAACTACTTTTACCTTCAACACTTTCTTCATCTCGGCCTCCGACAGCTCCACTCCGGTCTCCCTCAGAACGGCCGCGCGGAAGGATGCGCTGCGGATCTTGGGCGACTCTTCAAACAGGGAAAACAGAATCTGGCGGAGCTGCCACCAAAAACAAAAACAGGATTATTACTTTTTCATAAAAACACCAACAAGAAAAGTACCAACCAGTCATCTCATCTAAACTGACCCACGTCCACCGAATGTCGGTATACAACAGGACAGAAAGGGGCCATAAAAGCAGAGCGCTTCACAGACAAAAGTACCCAACAATCCCATCACTCCAAACTTTCTGCTACAATAGGTCTCTAGGTCTCTTGTCCTCACCCCATGGACCAGAGCAGGACAAATGATGGGCAAGAGAAAATACTATAGGAACAGATAGCTTTTCATTGATCACACAGAGAGAAATTCACAGTGGCATGATAAATACATACACAAGGATTAAGACACACACACACACACACACATCAACACACACACACACATCAACATACACACACACATCAACACACACACACACACACACACATCAACACACAGGCACACATCAAAACACATACACACATCAAAACACACACACTAACACACACATTAACACACACATCAACATACACATTAACACACACATCAACACACACACACGTCTCTGGTCTCCACTTACTTTGTCCAGTGTGTCGTTCCCTGTCCAGGCAGCAAACAGGGGATCTGGCTTTTTGTTGGCTGGCCACTAGAATTAAGAAGATTTTTTTTTTTTCAGTTGTTAAATTGAGAATGTACAACAATGAAATCAAGACTGAAGCCCGTAAAATTATTCCTCGAGATAACTAACCCCCCACCCCCAGTTAAAAAAAAAAAGACTCAAATACAAAATGAGAGAATTCACCAGTAGCAAAGACAAGAACAAGCCAAAGAAATGTACTTCTGGAGAGCAGGAGCCCACGGCATGAGGAGAACCTGGGACAACGGCTTCTGTCACAATTGACAAAACCAGGAAGAGAAACTGACCAGGCTCTCAGGACGCCCAACAGAAAGTGAAAGTGAGCTACAGGCAGCCCAAACTACACTTCTGTCTACATCTTCACAAACTACACTCCTGTCTACATATTCACAAACTACACTCCTGTCTACATATTCACAAAGTCTTAGTTACTGTTTCCATAAACGCCTTGTGTCTGTAGCATTAACTATTGCTAACATAACCATTGTCTGTAGCATGAACTATTGCTAACATAACCTTTGTCTGTAGCATTAACTATTGCTAATATAATCTTTGTCTGTAGCATTAACTATTGCTAACATAACCATTGTCTGTAGCATTAACTATTGCTAATATAACCTTTGTCTATAGCATTAACTATTGCTAATATAACCATTGTCTGTAGCATGAACTATTGCTAACATAACCTTTGTCTGTAGCATTAACTATTGCTAACATAACCTTTGTCTATAGCATTAACTATTGCTAATATAACCTTTGTCTGCAGCAGAATATATCATTTCCATACATTACCCCGTCTTCTACTGCTACTCCTGGCTCCCTGCTGCTGTCTTTCAGCCACACAGTAACCACCTACCTGATTGCTCAACTTGTGACCTCCAATAAACACATGACCAGTGATGTGACGAACAATAAACACATGACCAGTAATGTGATGAACAATAAACACATGACCAGTGATGAGATGAACAATAAACACATGACCAGTGATGTGATGAACAATAAACACACGACCAGTGATTTGACCTCCAATAAACACATGACCAGTGATGTGATGAACAACAAACACATGACCAGTGATGTGATGAACAATAAACACATGACCAGTGATGTGATGAACAATAAACACATGACCAGTGATGTGATGAACAATAAACACACGACCAGTGATTTGACCTCCAATAAACACATGACCAGTGATGTGATGAACAACAAACACATGACCAGTGATGTGATGAACAATAAACACATGACCAGTGATGTGATGAACAATAAACACATGACCAGTGATGTGATGAACAATAAACACACGACCAGTGATTTGACCTCCAATAAACACATGACTAGTGATGTGATGAACAATAAACACATGACCAGTGATGAGATGAACAATAAACACACGACCAGTGATGTGATGAACAATAAACACATGACCAGTGATGTGATGAACAATAAACACATGACCAGTGATGTGATGAACAATAAACACATGACCAGTGATGAGATGAACAATAAACACACGACAAGTAACTACCTGATTGTTCAACTTGTGACCCCCGATGGCTGCCACTGCATCCTCTATCATCCGGTCTGACACGCCGGCGCTGAACACATGTGCAGCCGGCACACGGGCTGTGTACATGGACAGCTTGCTGCGTATCTCCGACATGGATAACAAGCTACTCTCCGACAGAACTTCTCGCAGAAAGGTCTCCAGCTGGCGCGTCAGCGTGCCCCCCGGGTCCCCGTCTGCGTTGACCTCGCCAGGTATGCCACCCACCAGACCATTGGTCAAGTTCCTGGCAGCGTGGGCCGTCGCCCCGTTCAGAGCCACGTCTACAGCGTCGCCCGCCCTCTCCCCGCTCGCTGGGTCCACCTCAAGGTCGCTGACGTCCGACATCGATCGCCCGCTCAGAGTTCTCTTGCGTGGGGAGCGACTGGAGAGTCTTCGCGTGCGGTGCCTCTCCGTGGGTTGAAGGTTCATCAAGGCCATTTCAAGTTCTGCACAATTGTATCCAGTTGGAAAATTAAAAAATCTAAATTATCTGGGGAAAAAACCCAACATCAACAACAAAAACAACTCTCTCTTGAGATTCATCTTAGGTTATAATTGTTATAACTTCATCAAAGTACATTTCAGTTGGAATGGCTTGTCTTTATTACAACTTTTTGACTTACAATTCTGCAAATTTCAATCACTTTTCAAAGGTCTTAGCAATAGTTTCAAGATATATTCTTTCTTATAGAACACCCTCAAGGCTATCATTGTCTGCAGCCATAGACAACCTCACCTTTCTCCCAGCCCACACACTTTCAGTTACTCTATTACCTCCGGCAAACCCTGTACAATTACTAGAAGTGACACGACACAAACATCCAATTAGCACACAATAAGGTACAATTACTAGAAGTGACACGACACAAACATCCAATTAGCGCACAATAAGGTACAATTACTAGAAGTGACACAACACAAAGATCCAATTAGCACACAATAAGGTACAATTACTAGAAGTGACACGACACAAACATCCAATTAGCGCACAATAAGGTACAATTACTAGAAGTGACACAACAAAGATCCAATTAGCGCACAATAAGGTACAATTACTAGAAGTGACACGACACAAACATCCAATTAGCACACAATAAGGTACAATTACTAGAAGTGACACAACAAAGATCCAATTAGCGCACAATAAGGTACAATTACTAGAAGTGACACAACACAAAGATCCAATTAGCGCACAATAAGGTACAATTACTAGAAGTGACACAACACAAAGATCCAATTAGCGCACAATAAGGTACAATTACTAGAAGTGACACAACACAAAGATCCAATTAGCGCACAATAAGGTAAGTCCAAGACAGTACCTAAAGCTTTCTTCTCCCCATCTTTGGGCATCTTGAAGTGCTGAGCCAGGCTGTGGAAGGTGAGGGCCCACTTGTTCCTCTGCCTCTGAACAATCTCTGGGTGCCTGGACCAAACACACAAACGTGCTTTCTGGTTAAAGAAGACCTCTTTGAAGTGCAGAACATTCATGATACATGATCAAATAATTTACTTTTATTCATGCCCTGTGGGGAAATTTGGTTTACAATCTCGTAACATTTGTTACCTACACAACAGAACAACAGGGCTGCAGGTGTAGTATTGACTGATGTACCGTACAGAGATACAGGTGTATTGACTGATGTACCGTACAGAGATACAGGTGTAGTATTGACTGATGTACCGTACAGAGATACAGGTGTAGTATTGACTGATGTACCGTACAGAGATACAGGTGTATTGACTGATGTACCGTACAGAGATACAGGTGTACTGACTGATGTACCATACTGATGTACCATACAGAGATACAGGTGTACTGACTGATGTACCGTACAGAGATACAGGTGTAGCCCTGGCTCTTTCTTAAGACGACAGTACTTTACATGTAGCCCTATATACGTGGCTCTGTCTTAGGACGACAGTACTTTACATGTAGCCTAAGGACGACAGTACTTTACACGTAGCCTTAGGACGACAGTACTTAACATGTAGCCTTAGGACGACAGTACTTTACACGTTGCCTTAGGACGACAGTACTTTACACGTAGCCCAGAATACTTTGCTCTACTCACCGCTCACAGAAGTCACGGTCGTACTCGTAGAAGAACTCCCAACCGCTGCGAAGTTTGAGCCGCGACATTTTCTCCAGGATTTCCTTGACATCGTCCGAAGGCAACTACGGGGAGGGGCGAGAGAGAGAGAGAGAGAAAGGGGGATGATCTTTAGTTTTAGTTTGAGTTTTACGGCTCTTGCAACACAAAAAGGTAAAAACACAGCGCGCTTGTCTCCAAAGCAGAAAGTTCAGGTTCGAGTCACGACATCACATGCTTTTTCAGTTCTCTTAAAGATCTAGATTTTTTAAGAACATTTTTTTTTTTTTTACAATTAGTCCTTTACTTCCCCAGCTCGAAGTCAGGTACCCATTACAGGTGGGTGGGCAGGAGGGGGCGAAAGAAAAAATCCGTGGCCGAACCGAGGCTCGAACCTGGACTTTCTGCTTTGGAGACAAGCGCACTAACCGCTCCGCCACCACGCCACTGTAGGCTACAGGCTTTTAAAATAGTGCAATAGTGCTTTGTGGTCGTGTTGTCACCGTGAACGACAACAGAGTGGGAATCCCTCAAGGACGTCAAACAAGATGGTTGTTCCTATAAGTATCAGCCAATGGGGTACATCTGTCGTTCTCAAGTTATCCCTACAACCTTAGGCTCAAGTCACTGTGAGATAGATAAAGTCACTGTGAGATAGATAAAGTCACTGTGAGATAGATAAAGTCACTGCGAGATAGATAAAGTCACTGCGAGATAGATAAAGTCACTGTGTGTGAGATAGATAAGAGAGAGACACTGTACCTGCACAATGGAAGAGATGTCTTTGCGCACCACGTACTTGCAGTGCGTGAACTTCCACATCTGTCAAGCAAAAACAGAAACAAAACTAGAACAACGAGTTGAAAGGAAAAGATAATTATCTCAAAGTTTTTCTCCTCTTTCTGCTCCATTAGTCGTTCAATAAAAAAATAATGTGTCAATTTGACTGGTGTGCGCCTACAATTAGAAAAACTAAAACACAACAAACTTTGTACATTTGTTTAGCTGAGGACACACAGAAGTTATTTTTTTTAAATTTTTATTTTAATGTGACCAACTATGTATATGAAAGCAGATATTTATTTTTTTTAAAAATATATATATATATCTACATGTATGCATATGAAAGAGGTACTGATATATTATTTGTATGTATATGAAAGAGGTACTGATATATTATATGTATGTATATGAAAGAAGTACTGATATATTATATCTATATGTATGTATATGAAAGAAGTACTGATATATTATATGTATGTATATGAAAGAAGTACTGATATATTATATGTATGTATATGAAAGAAGTACTGATATATTATATGTATGTATATGAAAGAAGTACTGATATATTATATCTATATGTATGTATATGAAAGAAGTACTGATATATTATATCTATCTGTATGTATATGAAAGAAGTACTGATCTATCTATATGTACGTATATAAAAGAAGTACTGACAGCGTAGTCTCTCACTCTCCTCAACAGCTCGGGAGACACGCCGCTGTGAGGTCTGCGCTTCTTGGCAGCTTCTTCCTTGTCCTCCTCCGGGTATAACAGCTCGCTGAAACAGACACACAACACACGCATATACAATACACACACACACAACGCACACATATATAACAGCTCGCTGAAACAGACACACAACACACGCATATACAATACACACACACACAACGCACACATATATAACAGCTCGCTGAAACAGACACACAACACACACATATACAATACACACACACACACACACAACACACACATATATAACAGCTCGCTGAAACAGATACACAACACACGCATATACAATACACACACACACACACATATATAACAGCTCGCTGAAACAGATACACAACACACGCATATACAATACACACACACACATATACAACACACAGATACACAACGCACACATACACATATACAACACACATATATACAAAAGCTCGCTGAAACAGACACAGCCTGAAAACAAATTGCTATACAGAAAATATGGGAGGGAGAAAAAAGTGTTCGTTTTAGTAAGGTTTTAAGCACTCGCAACTGCACAAGGTCCTAATATGTGTTACAACGTGGTGGAATCAGGCACTTGTCAATTGTGGGGCATATGGAGTTATTGCTATCATCTTAAAGCCTGTTCATTTGACTTCTTTGTGGCGAAAAAAATATCCATCTGTGTTGAACAGAAGTCGAAATATTTGCAATTGAAGGATTTTTCGGGGGTAAAATTAGCGAGAAAATGGCTGCCAAAGTTAGGTGACTTCCACAGTTGGAGAGTCCATGGAAACTGAATATACATTTTTAGTACTTTTAATCAAAATCCACACAGGAATTTGTTTTAAAATGAACATAAAAGGTGTTGTGCCAAAAAAACAAAATTTGATCAAAATTGCAAAGCGGAAAGGAAAAATGCTGTTTTCTTCCATTTCATTCATTTGACGAGCGCCTGATTTCACAACACTGCCTCACATTTGGTCGCTCAGGAATGGCACACACACACACACACTAAATTAACGACCCTCATAACCAAATGACTAAATTAACGACCCTCATAACCAAATGACTAAATTAACGAGACTACAAGCCCCGACCGCCAGTCGACGCCCAGAAGGGTAAAAGTTATGGTTTCAGGTAGGCACCCACCTCCAAAGAATTCAGAATTTTGTCCTTGAAACATTTACGTAACCCTTTTGCTGTAATCTAACCGTATCACAGCGCCCACGGGCCGCGACGGTCTTCGACCACTGACCTTTTGACCACCCAGCATCCCTGGACCAGGACGGCCATACTCTGCAGCGACCGCAGCACGGCCTGGTGGTCAGCACCGGGGGCCAGGAAGCTCATCAGCTGGCTGAACCGTATCACCTTCACTGAGGACACAAGAACCGTATCACCTTCACTGAGGACACAAGAACCGTATCACCTTCACTGAGGACACAAGAACCGTATCACCTTCACTGAAGACACAAGAACCGTATCACCTTCACTGAGGACACAAGAAACGTATCACCTTCACTGAGGACACAAGAACCGTATCACCTTCACTGAGGACACAAGAACCGTATCACCTTCACTGAGGACACAAGAACCTTCACTGAGGACACACATTTTGAGAGGTAGGGTATAAAAATATAATTTTGAGAAAATGAGCTTTTAAGTTTAACAAACGTGAGAACACATACAAACTTTTCAAAAACGTTTTTTAAATGTGTTTATTCATGGAAAATTCATTTCCAATTTGGCAGGCAGTTGACATCGATATCTCGGATGGAATTCAATGGTAAAACATAGCAAGGAAGAACAAACGTGCTTCAACAATAGATTTTCACTCCATTTAACAGCAGTTTTCATTATTTGTTTTTAGAGTTTCCTCAAAACAATTCCAAATAAAACATTTACAAGTCAAATCAATGAAAACTCTTTGAGTTTGAGTAGATGGTAAAATAAATGTTGGATCTATCATTTTTTTATGGAAACACATTTTGGTCAAAAAAAGTGATTTTTGTCATTCTCAGCCTGTGGCTCGAAACAGTCTGGGGCGACGTTTGGTACCGTTCTCTGGGCGCACACACATTTGTTTAAATACCCATTTTACGACATTTGCAACACAACAAGGTCATATAAGTGCGGAATATTAAAGGTGATATAAGAGAGTAACAAACACTTCTATTACAATTATTATCATAATATCATCCCAAGAAGAATATTTCCAGAGGTCTCAAGTGAGGGCCCTTGGTGCTGCTCAGCCCTTTAAGTTCCCATTTCCATCATTTTGTCTGTTCTATTTCAAAACAGCTTTTAGCCACCCATCT